CCAGAATTATTTAATTTACTCATTTTTCTTTTTTGGTCATTGGTTTCCTTTAAATTGTTATTTTTAACCTTACAGTAATTATTCAGCAATATATTGGAAATGCATGTGGCACAACTTTTCAACAAATCATGCAATGATTTGCCACACTCACAAATACTATCATCCCAAATAATCCTGTTTTCAACTTTCTCTGTGATGAGACTTATTAATATAGAACGTTGATTTTTTGATGAAAATATAAATTTCTCATACATTTCAGATATTAGGATTGAAAATATTTTAAATGCAGAGGTATTAATGAAAAGCACGAATTCTGTTGGCCAAAATAAACCACCTCGATCAATAGCAGCTAAGTACGCAAAATCTTCACAATATTCAACTATCAATTTCTTTGTCAAGAATTAATTTTTTCCTGCAGAGATTACAATTTATATGCTTCAATACAGATCTACAAACATATCCAGAAATGTAAATTAGACACATTGTATCTTTTTCTGTAACATTAACATCATTGGATTGATGCAAAACATCAACAAATTCCTTATCAATAAGTTGATCATCATTAAAATCTTCAATATCATTACAAGAAAAATGTTGTAAAATAAATGAACCTTTCTCAGAAGACTGCATTTTAAGCAAACTAATTAATTTTAGTTTTCTTTCCGACTCTATAATCTGCTGTAAGGATACATTATAATTACAGCCACTCATTTGTCGAAATTGACCGAAAACGTCCCTCAAGGTTATCTGTCTGAAATTTTCCTAAAAGAATAAAAGGTAATTTAAATTCTTTTAACAAATACTTTGAAAGTTCATTCAATGTTGCTGTTGTACGGAGAAGAGCAACTTGGGTTTCTTTTGACAGTTTCCCAATTTGTGACTTACAGTTTTTTGTTGTTGGGCAAAAATCGTTCCATGATATAAGCCACGAACAAAACTGTGATAAACATATTCTAAGCTTTTATCTTCTGGTGTGTCCTTATAGGCTGCATAAATACATCTCGAAACTGTAAGGCCTTTTTAGAGTGTTTAACATTCACAATTTTCCACCACTTTAAAATTATATCAATAAAATGTTTAGTTTCTAAGACGTCTTTTCCATACCCAGTTCTATTATTCTGCGATTCAATTTGCAGAGCAGCTAAAGTCTTTTCATCAAAAAGTTTAATAGCAGTACTTACATTCTGCTTCTCTATAGAAGACGGAAATAAAACTTTTCTTGATAAAGTTGGAGCCATTTTAATATTATCATTTTTTTTCTATTTCATACAATTTTTTTAAATGTAGAACACTGGAATTGTAAACAATATTTGAGTTTTCAAATGACGGTATAAAAAATGTTTGGTTTGAATCTTTCTGATTGAACCAGTTGTTTCGTATAGATTTCAATAAATGAACTGTATCAAATAATATAAATATAGGAAGATTATGCATGGTAGGGTTTATAAATGTTTAGGATTTTTAATTTTATGCATATTTAAGTTGGCCACAACATTTCGACAAAGAACGCATTTATTTGCCACCAAGGTTCATAAATTAAACGTATTGTAGTGTTCACAGTGTGCTACATATTCCTGTTATTATGTCTTCCACGTGTATTATTCTATTAAATTAGAGTTTAGTTTTATTTTTTATACTTTTTTACGATAGCAGTTATTCCGAAGTACGGAAGTCATTGTATTAGAGAAAATAAAGGGTTCTTCGATCACTTACTACAATTAGTGAACATAGCTTAGTAAGCTTCTGTTCCTAGTAGGTTTGTATGTTCAACATTGAATGATAAAATGAGGATTTTAATACACCACCACAAAGCATTTCGAACATATTTCTGTTAATTCTATTATTGTCTGATATTAGAGTTATAATTCGATAGCCACAAGACTGTACATGGTGAATTACTTGTTTTGTAAATATTAATAATTGATGTGATGATAAGTTTTTTACGGGAAACATTGCTAAAATATCTCTGTTTTTTGATAATATAGAGCTTATCATAAATGTTTGCAGAGTTGTGGCCTCCATCTGCGAATTATCCGAAAAATTTAAAACACGACCATTTTTATACGAAACTTGTGGTTTTATATATATCTCATCTAATAATAAATTGACAATTTTTTCAGAATCATTTAAAATTTCACATTTTTTTTTCCAAATACATCCAGTGACTTGTTTGTAATCCAGAATCTGCTCGGCCAATTTTCAGAGATAACTTCCTTAAGTATGACGGATGAGGCAATATAAAATACTTACTGTTACGTATAATATTGTAGCTGTTTGGATTACAATAAAATATATAACAAGACCAGGCAAGGAATTCTGCACTATACGAAGGCTGTTTCATTTGCATTAATTGAATCTGTTCATACAAAAACTTAAATTTCTCAGAATGTGGATTATTTTCTGTTTCTGCACATTTCAACAGTAGTTTTGATATTTTATCTAAATTTAAATTGCAGTCATCATGAATATCAGAAGCAGAAAAACCATCCAAATGGCTAATCATTGTCTCAAGTTTAGACCATTTATCACATAGTTTTTCTTCTCCAAATATCCATTTGAACGTTTCAATGGGAATTTCATTTTCATTGAAAAAAACTCTTACATTTAAATCTTCCAATATTTTTAAAGATACAAGCACTTTTGGACAGCTTAAAAATTCTAATTTCGATAGCCAAAAGATCCTACCTTTGGTAATGAATATCCATGAAGAGGGAAGATCTATTTTTTTTTGCAAAACCATTTATTAGGTTTTCAAAATCGCTAATAATATCATTCTTTTTCCACTGTTCAAATTGTTTATCACAACGAATATCAATTTCTGCTTCTCTTTCTTCCGGTGTTTTTCTTTTTGTGGGAAGTTTCTTCGATAAATAAGATGGCTGGTTTTGAAAAATCGTTGGATAAGCATCTTTTTTTAAAACTGGAATAGTTCTAGGAACTACTAATACCGTTCCATCATCACGAACAGCTTTATCTTCTCGAACGATAAATTTTTCTTCGAAATGCTTAATGCATACACTACTGTGTTTGCCAGCTACAAAATCTTTGCGATTAATATTTTTTATCCATTTCTGAGAGAGTACAGGATCCGAAGGAAATTTGAAAGTGGACACATGTTCATTAGTGCTATCGTAATTTGATCGGCATTTAGGTACACTACACTTTCTTGGCATTCTAAAACACACTTTTTCTTATAAATTCGAATTCACAATATAATATTTTACTTTCCGGTAAAATACAAAATTTTTCAGAACAAGAAACACATGTAAACAATTATCTCACTAGCACTAGTCCTACGGCGAAGCAAGCTCAGCCTACAAAATTGAAGCACTAAGATTTATGACGTCAGATCATGTGATCATCAGATTGGAGCAGGCCTGTAAATATCTAGTTGGCCTTGCGCGGACCTGACTCTCTTTCCTCCCTTCCACACCTCCTACTACACTTTTCTTTTTTCCTTTCTTTCCAGATTGTTATCAGAAGCCGAGTAAAAAGATGTTTCTACATCTTGAGGCTCGAGAATAAAATACGATCTGTGTGAATGCCAAGAATAAACAAATAATGAGAAAAAACTTAGAATTTTAAAAAACTGCATGCAAGTTACTGGAAGCAAGAATTATAATTAGGAAAGACAGGATAGAGTAGACTTTAAGGTACCCCTTGTATTATGGCTAAGTTGTTGTTTGATTTATGATAGCCTGAGTAGTTGAATGTTATGGAAACCCTATTGTGACGTAATTGGGTACATGATTCTCTGGGAAATTTTGAATCATGAGATGTTTTGTAAGCGTTTTTGTGGTGTGTGTTGGTTTGATTCTTTAGACGGTAGAATGGCCGAATGTAGTAGGATTAATTTGAAGTTTCTGTACGATTTGGAGAGAAAGAGGAAAAGAGCGTTTAACTTGACTAGGTGTGTCAATGAAGGTTTACTTAGTAGCCATTACAGGTTGTCCTGTATATAGGAAGGATATGCGTCTAGTCGAATGTAAAAACAGTTTAGATGGATTTGAAAGGGTTTGTAGGAAAAAGGTTCAGATGGTCACTATGTTAAGCGTTTCGATCAGAAAAAGTACCTGGTTTGAAAAAGTCATTTGAGTATGACTGATATTTTGAATTTTACGTGGCTCTGGGTGTACGAAGCGAACTCGAAAATCATGGTAAGTGAATATTTGCTTTTGGTAGTGCTTAAATGTATAACATGTTTTTCCTTTTTTATGTTATTTTATTGTTTGGTTTAAAATGTATTTTATTGAGATTATGTATTTCTTGTTTGCCTATATTGTAGAATTGGGTGTTCCTTTGACTTGAATATAAAATGAAATATATCGACGTGTACAAAGTAAAGTTAGTGCGCAATAGAAGTTTGTGCAATTCGAGGATTTTTTTTAAAGTGAAATTAGGTCGACGTGTACATGGATAAAGTCAAAGGAGTGCGCAATGCCATTTTTGTGCAATTCGGGGATTTTTTTTTTAAGTGAAAATAAGTCGATGTGTACAATGGTACCGAGTTTGTGCAATTGTTTTGTCTGGTTATTTTGGGTTTGTGTAGCGGTGATTTTTGGCGCAAAAATCGCCGCTTCGCAAGCCAAAATAACGAGTCAAAGGATTGCACAAAATCGGTATCCATGTGCCGCCAAGTTTCGGCAAGGGGTACCCTAAACTATACTTTTACCGAAAGAGAGATTTTTTATGTAGAAGGGAGGATTAAAGATGCACATTCAAGAACTACGTTCTCCTTTACCATCAATGAATGTATTAGAAATTAATCAGTAGTAGTGTTAAAATCTTAGCAGTGTGAGCTCTCACGGCATACCCTTAAAAATATCAAACTAAGAACTACTAAATAATTAAAAAAGAGAAAATATTATTCCTTAGTAAATTACTGGGAAATTCAGTAATATTTTGAATTTGAGCTGACATAGGGTGACCGTGATAATTTTTATGCGGTTAAAATTTCTTACTTAATGTTGGCAACAGCGGCATTGGGCAGGGCAAAGTCTACAAATTCTTCTCTGATTGCTAGTCGTCATTTGAGCTTGTCATTCTGGGAATCGGCGTTAACCTTATAGTAATTGTTACTGTTGGTTTATAAACGATGACTAGTGTACAAGCTGAAGAGACACCTGCCTCTAATACTACAAATACCGCTTCAGCTGACAAAGGCAAGCCAGCTGTTCATAAAACAGATTATGAAAAAGATGTTGTTTATCTCTACCAGTTTTCCCGATGCCCGACATTGCCATCGGCGTCTCCATTCTGCCTCAAAGTTGAAACATGGCTGAGAATGACCGAAGTCAGATACGAGGTAATATACGCAGATATTACTGAGATGTTGTGGTAGTATATTAAATTTAAAATGTACATTTAATAGCTTTATATTAAATAAAAATTTTGTAATATGTATCCAAGTGACGTATAAAATGGCGCTGCCGGCTGCTGTACCAGATCGTACATCACATATAAGATCGTTTCAGAATTAATGAAAATATATTAACTTTTTTAATTAAATAATGGCATTTATTTGTAACAGTAAAAATAGTTATTTAACTTTTATGGAATTTTTTGAAAATTAATGTATGATTTGCGTTTGTGAGTTTATGATCAGTTCTTATTATTTGTTGCTTATGTATAAACCGCCAAACTATTAATAATCGTATAGTTAAAGTATATTCTTTTATGTAGCATTATTTTTCCTCATTCAAAATACCATTTTTGTGCTCTATATTTAATGCACATCTTGTACGTGCAACTATATAAAATTATTTAAATTTAATTGTGAAGTTTAATCTATGTATTTAATTGCGATTAAGAATTTATGAATATAGGGAAGAACTTATAAAGTCGTGAGTTTTACAGTTTTTGTAAATTTTGTCAGATTTTTAAATGTAAAATGTGCAGTAATATGTCAGCTCTTCCAAATTTGACATAATCGCTTTCTTTCTCGTCTGTATAATATTAGCTGTTAAAACACCGTAAGATACCCTAATGAAAACTATAATAAAGGTCATATCTTAGAGCTTTTAGATGTAAATTATCCATTAATTTAGATTTCTAAATGTGTGAAATGGTTTCCATATTGTATTTCAGCTTAGAAATTATGCATTGTGAAAATATGCCTGTTCAGTGTTTTCATGATGTTAAAAGGAAGGAATGTGTCATCTAATAAGTTTTTTAATTGTAATTTGTCCATGGTATTCCTCAAATTACATATTTGTATGGTATATGGTCTTATTTCAATAGTTACACAATTTTCTTTCGAGGGAAGAGAAGTACATGTTTTAAATTGTTGATAAAAGCTAGAGTCATGTTCTGAGCAGACTATTTAAATGTGCTTTAAATTAAAGAACAGAATAATGTTTAAAGATAAAAAATAACCATCTACTTATAGAAATACAATTTTTAAATTGTAGTACAGCTGTAGCAGGGAAGCTAATGGTTTATATTCATAGTGAAAATAATCAATTTTGCATCCTGTTATGCTGAAAGAACACGAGAAGCTTTAAATTTGAAAACATTTGATGATTTTACTTGGGTAGTTTAAAGTACAATGTCTGAAAGCTGCTTCTTTTAAAAATTCATTTAATGCTTCAGTTTAATACAAAAATCCCCACTCCCTCCAAAAAATTTGTCATATAGAAAGAAATAATCTTGATATCAAGGATTTGTGTCCAATTAAAGCGGCAAAGCAAAAAAGAGTTGAGCCTTAAATGCTTTTTTCCTGTTTAAAATTGTTTTGATTTCTCAGTTCCCAGTTTTTATTCTCTTTGAGTGAATGAAATAGGAAATGTCCTGATTGGATTCCAGTTCAAAGTTCAAGGCTCAAGCTGTGTCAAGAATAGGATGAATCAAAATCAGCTTTGAATCATAGGCAGGAAGTGATTAGAGTTCATTCCTAGCTAGTCAGGGAAGTTAAATGAAAAATTAGTCATTGTATACAATGGGAATAGTTGCTTTGATAACATTCCTTTTTTTCTTTTTAGTCTTGCAGGGAAAAATTCCAGCATTCTTTCTCTTTTTTCAGAACCTCAACTCCACATATTCTTACTTTTCTATTAATTTATTATTTATTTATTTTTCACAGATTAATAATATAATTGATATTTTAGATGAATGTTGTAAAGTCGAGAATTTGGTTTTAAAAGGATGTTAATGTTTATTTTAAAATAAAATTTTCCTTATTAAAGTTTAAACTGTTGTTTTTTTATTAGCCTAAGGTGAAACAGAGCTTCAAATTAACTGATGCATGAAGAGACACAAAGCTTTAATGTGTGTAACTGGTGATGCTTCAGTGCTTGGATGCACACATGCTTGCATCAGAAAATTCATAGGTGATGCAAGAGCAAGTATCCATGTTTCAGAAAAAAAGAAAAAAAAAAAATGGTTGACACTGTTTTTTCAGGGATACTCAAATAAACGGCACCCAGATGTTAGCTAAGATAGGGAAAAGAAAAGGGATATTTTCTATATGGTTGATACTTCGGGTGTCGTGACTTACACAACGTTAAATACAGACTTATTCCGTGCTTTTTCTCATGATAACAGTTCAGTTGCGCATGCACAAAAATATGGGGTTACTTTAAATGTGTCATATTTAGCACTTTATCTTGAAGAAAATACATTTCAAGCAAAGCATTGCCGAGAAAATGAATGATCCTTACTAAGTTTATATGTAGTTTATCTAGCTTTTTTATTTAATGTTATTTATTCTCATTTTTAGAGCCTTTAATCCAAAAAATTGTTTGAAAATTTCAGGCTGTTTATGTCACAGGACGTAAAATTTCGTTTCGGAAAGAAAAATAGTATAGAAAATTAATAAACTTTTGAAGATGCTATTTATTAATTTATGGTTTTTTCCCCTTATAGTGTGGTAAACTCATATGAGAATAAAGTAAATTTAGGGAAAGGGGGAAAAAAAAAAAAAAACCCAGAATTGTTTGACTGAAAGAAAAAATTACTCATGTACTTAGTAAATGTGAGAAACCTTATTTTCAATCAAAATTTTATGTCAGTATGTATGTAACAGTAAACCATACAGAAAATATAAAATACATTCAGGAAGTAAATACGCATGATTTGTGTGTATAAATCAAAATATATACATTTTGTATGCATACATTTCTGAATGTGGTCCCAATAACAGAAGAGCACAACCTGATTTCTATAAACACTGAAAATGTAGAACTCAAATTCATTATTAACTTTCCTCAGTTGAACTTTATATTGTTTGAATTTTTTAAACACTCTGTTTAGTTTTAGTTCATGAAAAACTATATTTTTCTGTACAATTAAGCTTTTAATTGTAGATAATTTTGTCGTTTGCTCTGATTTTTTTTTCTACAGACAAATTAATATAAGTAGCCACACATATTTCCATAATATTTCATTCTTTATATAGATTGCATAATATCTGAAAGTACCAAGAATGAGTCCTGTAAAGCAGAGTACTTTTTTAAAAAATTATAGTTTAAAGATTCCCAGCCTTTTGCTTCATTAACCCTTTTATATTTTCTCCTGTAATATATAGCATATAACATAGTATCAATACAAATAATTGTGCATACATAGCTTAAAGATTATAGTAGTAGATTAAGAATATGCATAACAGATTTGGAAAAAAATGATTTTTTTTTTAGATTTATGCTTTATTATTATTTTGAACTTTAGAGATATAAGCAAGATGCAAAATCACAGATTATAATTGCCCCAGAGTTCGATTTTAATGAATGTAATGGCTGTAACTTGATGTATTGAAATAATTTTTTAAATATTTGGCATAAAATTGCTTAATTCTTAAATCAGCTCATTTAAAAAAGTTCAGCTTGTTTCTTGTTTTCCGTAGTAAGTTGTTGACTTGACTAAAGCTTCTTTTCAGTAAGTACAAGGAAGAGAAATGCTATAATCGTCTTTAATTTTTGGATATTTCTCTCGGATTATTTATAAATTACCGAACTTAGTGCACTCATATATTTTGAATATGACTTGATTTATTTGTATAATTACTTATCTTTTTTTTATGAATACTTTGTTTTACAGTCAGTAGAATCTTAATTGTGCTGATCAATTGTCATTGCATATTCGGATATCGAATCGTTGACCATCATAGAGACCCTTTAAAAATTCATCAACCCAAATGAGAAACCCTGGTCTGAAATCTTAACTAATAAAAATTATTTAAAAATTTTTTAATAATAGAGTTCATTTTAAATTGCTGAAGGTTTTGCACAATATCTCTTCATAAACCATTTTTATAAAAACCTTTTAGTAATTATTTTATGTAAGATCAGATTGGACTAGAATATGCTAAAGGACTTAAAATTCCTATCCTTCAGTCTTACCTTCAGTTCTAGTATGGGCAGAGACTTGTTGCAGTTACAGGATTTCTTCAATTAACAAATGATGTCAGATATTACTTTACATTATAGGCTGCTTTAGAAAGCTAAATGTTATTATTTATTTCCTTTATTGAAATGTGTTAGAGATTTAAATAAGTTAACAGATGTAGATTGAGGCAATGTATGTTGCATCAGTTTTCTTATGTATTATTTTTACTTCTTTGTATGAAAGTAAAGAAAGTATTGTCATCACAAAAAATGTCAGGTATTATATTTCAACAGAAATATCACTTTTGAAAATTTTTTTACATATGGACAGAATAAAGGATTCTTTTTTTTTCCCCCAAAGCAGAAAGAAATTTTTCATGACATCTGTATGCACATACATATCTGGCATAAATAAAAAATTATTGGCTGTAGGACATTAAAATTCTGTATACAGGACTGCTATATTTACTGCAATCAATAAAACTGAAATTGCACCTCAGGTGAGTATATATACTGAATACACCATAACATATATTGAATACACCATAACAGGTAAGTATATATAAATTGAAAGATTTTGCAGAGACAATAATGAAAATTATAAATACAAACAAAGATAGAATTGTAATTTGGCACTGAGACTCAGATTTTGGACTTAATTTGTTTTTTTTTCTGGCCAGTCAGTCCCTTTTTTTTATCATATGGCTGGCTTATGCTGGCTAGGAGGATCGAGGCTGTGCCCTTATAATAATAATATATATACTTTCAGTATTTTTTTTATACTGTAAGGCAAGCTTTCTTGGTGATCAAAATTACTCGAGCAAATGTTCGCAAACCTGAGTACAGAGCTATATATAAATTAGGAAAATTAAAACATCTGGTGGTGTTAAAATTCCATAACACATGCAAATCTAAGTTTAAAGGCAAAGTCAAATATTCATATTAATAGGTTACAATTGATTGAAAATTAAAGAGAAATAGAAAG